GGACAAACAGGCCTTCCTCCAGGCCCGTTACGGCCAGTTATAAAAAGGCAATCCATTTCCTGCTCTCTTCCATGGAAGGTGACAGTTTTACCCCTGTCCCCCAGTTTTACCCCCTCTGGCATTTTTCAGGACTTTGATGTAAGAAGCACTATTACCCTTGGTACAGCCATCTACACGGTTCCATTCTCAGGCCTTTTGGCCTTAAGAGGTTTCAGTGATCCTACCCTAGCCCTTTAGGTCACCCTTTCTTCAGTTTTCACCTTACCACTTAGCAACAGTAATTTTTCATTTCCCACAGGTAAGCAGGCCGAGAGTCTGCGAAGGGCCCGAAGTCACCGAGTGAGTGGGGAGTGGAACCCAGGCCTCCCGGCTGCCCAGTCCCACACCCTCCGAACCGCACCAGCCCACCGGGACCTGCCTCGCGTTTGACTCTGAAATGCCGGCTAGGGACTGGATTCGTGGACTTGCGCTTTCCGAGCATGTGCTCCACCACTGACGTCCCGCACTTCCTAACCCTCAAACGGAACTCACTAGGTAAAGACAGTAGAAATACCAATGACATTTTATCTGTGCGGCGGCACCTGAGCTTCTTCCTGAGAATTTTGTGTACAAAAGGAGAGGAGTACAAAGGCAAGATTGTGCACAAAACCCTTGCATCTGGCCATGGAACACAGAAATAGAAGCAGCATTACCGTCTCGAGCCCATTTGCATCAGAATTCCTGGCAGTGGCACGCAAGGCTGTAAGCGCCTTTTATGCTTTTTAAAAAGTGATCAACTTTCGTAGTCTGCAGTCTCATTGCACAATTATTTTTCTCAATATATCCATGGTGATGGAGAGATGGGGAGTTTTGAGGTGGCAGGGCCAATCACCAAAAAGTCACAGGTGAGGTAAACTTGAGGGGACTTTAAAGAGTCCCCTTGAGGGGACTTTAAACTTTAAAGAGGGGACTTAAAAAAAAAAAAAAAAAGCAATGCCAAAGATGAATTTGATCTTCAAAATGGCATTTAGTGAATGAACAATGAATGAACAATGAGGGGAAATATGGTGGTATATTCACTACTATAGCCTGTTTACTGGCTAACTAAAACAATTGCATGATTGAGAGACAACATTGTATTCCTGCTTAGCTTAATTTAAACCCAGGGCAAAGGCAATGTACCATGAACGTGACTGGCTTGGGGAGGTCTCAAGGCAGAAGTTTCCCTCCCCACAACAGAGGTTTGGAAGCCTGCCAGTTCTGTGCACCAAGCTGGAGTGTGCGCACGAGTGAGGCTTTGATCCCACGGCTCCGGGTTGGGGTCTGTCCTTTGCTCCGGGGGGGGGGGGGGGTCCAGTGCCAGATAGTCTGGAATGCCTTGGGCAGGCGAGTTTTGCTGTAGGGTATTCAGAGCCATGCCTTTTGGGGTTCTGTTCCTCTCGAAAGGCCCACTTCCGCCGGCATGCGGATCCCCCGTCCCTTGCCCCGGCTTCCGCACCCCACCCCAACTACCGGTTCCCTTCTCCCGCTCTGTCTCTCTCTGCAGAGAGAGAGCACTGGTCTGTCTACTCACTTGTGCACGCATCTTTTTTTTTTTTTTGCATTAGGAGAGGAATTGTGCAAAAGACGGTTCAGTCAACATTTGCCAATGTGTGTGCTCTGGAAAGGAAGGAACGCCAAAAATGCGCAAGCAGCATAGCCTTGCAGTAGCAGACGAAGGAAAACATAGACCTCATTGCACTATGACAACCAGAAATGAAATGACGCAGAGGGGAATACGTTGGGCCACATGGGCCCACCTACTCAGAAACGTTACAGTAAACATCACAAAACCATTCCTGCACAGAAATGCCACACAGCTTTGAAGGGAGGGAACACACCAGCGGTTATTTGCAGTGCCAGAAAACACGGGTGGATGTGAAAAAATACAGGGAAGGCTGGGCCAGATCATGGCACAGCTGCAGAACCGCGAGGGCAAAATCACCTGGATCGGACAAGGCACTATCACATTCAAAGCCTCCTCTGCCTTTTAGAAAAAGACACATCCAAGAAAATGTTGCATACGAGTTTTTTCTCTCCATTTTTCTGCACTTTTGCATTTCTACTTCTGTCGTTTGACAGCCAATGTATCATATTAGACGTTCCCTAAAAAACGTTTTAATAATTGATACAACTAGACCTTTGTTTTGTGTGTTTGTATTTTATTAGTATTGCATTTTTAATTGTTGTAATTGGTTTTATTGTGGTTTTTACCTTGTGATTGTGAGCGGCCCAGTGGTGCTGTGGCACAGCAGGCAGCATTCAGATGTTTTAAACAAACATGAGGTTCTTTTCAGAGCTGGTGACCAGGGTCTCCCGCCGAGTCCCTGCCCCACGTATCTCAGGCGGTGGTGCATAAAGCATGTTTTCGCACTGGTGCAGCTCAGTCTCGCAGGGCTCAGGGCTCGGAAAGACCTGCCCAGTCCATCGATGCCACACCAGTCAAGAACTGGCTGCTTTTTCCATATGCACCAAAGCAACCCGGTCTTCCTGCATCTGATGGAATGGATAATCACCCAGAACCACTTATGCCAGCTTAAACCGTTAGGGTGCAGCTGTATTAATTAGTGTGTTTTATTTATATCCCCCCTTTCTCCCAAGATGGAACTCAAGGTGTCCACGTACAGTTCCCAGGTGGTCTCCCCTGCAACCTTGGGCCAGCCCCATTCCTGCTTAACTTCAACATGGTGGATGCTTCGTGTGCATTCAGACCATGCTCTGGGCCAGAAACAGTATACCAGAAACTTAGGCTGGCTTTCTGCTAACTGGACCACCAAAGCAGCCTTTCCCAACCTGGTGGCCTTCCAAACTCCCAGAATTCCCACCCGGCAGAGCCGTTGCGTGGGAATTCTGGGTGCTGTAGGCCAAACGTGTCTGGAAGGCCCCAGGCTGGGGAGGCTGCACTAAAGAATCCCGGAAAGGGCTGAGAGCGACCCTCCCGCGAGGACACGGGTTGCATGGCACAGCTGGGCGATCGCCCTGGGAGCAGGCTGGCCTGAGCCCAGCGGCTCCTCGGCTCTTCTCGCGCCACGATCGGATGGCGCCGCCAGGGCACCAGCGCAGCCACTGCCATCATGCCCGGAAGCGATCCCAGCCAGTGCGCTAGACCGCGCAGGGCGACCCTGGGGTTTGGAGCACCATCTGGGCCTGGATCCGCGGGCGGGAAGGCCGCAAGCCCAGCCAGCCGCGTTGCTCGGGGCAGGCTGGGGGTGGGCGCCTTTCCCCCTGCATGAGGCGCACAGGATCGCGCTCCGTCGTCCTGGAGACGCAACCCCCGCTTCCACGGATGCCGTCCCAAGTAATCGCAGCCGATTCAAAGAGCCGCCTCGTGACCGGGCCCGCAAGGCGGAGAACCGGCCGGGCCTCTCCTTGCGGCGAGAGGGCGCCCGCCCGGGAAGGGGGCCGGGCGAGCCGCCAGGGCTGCCGGACAGGATCGCTCGCAGCCGCCGGAGCCCGGGCGCACCTTCGCGGGACACCGCTCCCGCGCGGGGCAACGTCGCGTGTATTTGCATATGCAGATCAGAGGCGGATGCCCACGCCCCCGTCGGCCAGCGGAGCGCCTGGCGCGGTCCCCGCCCGCCTGGCGCCTCTTCGACACGCGTGTCCTCTGATTGGCTGGATTCAACACCCTGCTCTCCCCACTGGCCAGCTTCGTGGGCCTCACCTTGCTTCCGCCCCCTTCGGCTTCGTTTGCCCTGACTGAGGAGCGGCCTGTTGCGCAGCGATTGGGCGTCCGCAGCGCGGAGGGTGAGCGGAGGCGTTTCTCCCACCCTCGGACTGTGATTGGACTGGCGCGGATTCTCGAGGGGCGTGGCCGAGTCCGTTGGGTTGCGCCTTCTCTCCTTTCTCAGCCCGCGGAGCGGCTCTCGCGGGAAGTTGGTGGAGGGGAAAGGGGGCGTGGCCTCCTGGCTCAGGTTGCCTCCGCCGCCGCCGCCTCCGCCTCCGCCTCGTGCGCGCGCTTATTCGCTTCCTGTCTCGCTGGCTCGCTCGCTCGCTCGCTGCCGCGGAGCTGCCTGGCCGGGCGGGCCCGGGAAAGAAAAATAATCCCCGAGTTTCCAGGACCGGCCCACGCAGGTAAGAGGGTGAGGCGGGAGCCGCTGGGGGACCGAGGCTGTGGGAGGGGCGGGTCCTGCTCCGCGGGGGCGAAGAGCGGGCCAGGAACGGGTTAAAGGGGTGGGGCTCCGCTGCCCGGGGGCTCTGCGCGGCGTTTGCGGAGGGCGGGCCGGGGGTCTCCGCGGGCCCGGCCAGCGCGGCCTCCGGGCGGGGGCTCCCCGGCGGAGCGCGGGTGCCGCGCGCCGGTGCTCGGCCCCGTCCTGGGGAAGGGAGTCCCGGGCCCGCCGTGCCTGACCGCTGCGGGGCCTCCGGCGCGGTGGCCCCGGTGCTGCCGCCCTCGCCCGCGCGGCAGGCGCCCCCCCGCAGGTCCCTGCCCGGAGGGGCTCGCAGTGGGGGCCTGCGCGCCGGGCCTGGCGGGGCTGCAGCTGCGGGGAGCCTCGTGCCCGGCGCGCCCCCTGCCCGCAGGGGCCGCGGGGTCGGAGGCAGCGCCCTGGGGCAGGCTTCCCCGGCAGCCCCTGCCCGGGTCTGCGCCGGTCTTCCCCAGCAGGAGCCCTCCCGATGTCCATTCCCGACGCTTGGTCGTGCTGGCCGCGGTTGATGGGAGGTGGAGTCTGAGGCGGCTGGGGGGCATCCCTTATAGCGAGAGGTGTTTGGAGAAGCGCAGCGGGGTGGCACCGGTGTGAGCGGTGCTGAAATCCAGCCTGGGGCAGCTTAGTTATTTCGTATATCCCGCTTTCCCCTAAGGCGCCGGGGAACACAAGCCTGGGCTGCACGTTGCAGTCGCGGCCCCAGCCCTGCGGGGGAGGATGGGGCGAGGGGCCTTGCCTGGCCCACAGGCACTCGCTGTGCTCCATGGTAAACAAGGGCCGGCTTTTCCAAGCCCTGCCCGGTCCCGGCGGCATGTGGTGTGCAGAGAGTGCGCTGCCAGCATCCCAGATGCCTGAATCGGAAAATCTACGAAACGCCAGGATTTCCATCTGTTCCTCCTGGCGCTGCCTGATTCCTGACAGCTTTCCAACCTGAGAAAAGCCCTTCGGGTCACGGGGTGGTGAGGTCTTGCAGGCCTTGCTGCACCCACGTTTCTCCTCTTTACTGAGTGACTTTTGCAACCTGTCCGGGCCTGTCTTTGCACAGAGAGCTCGTGTTTCAGCTCTGAAATCTGCGTTTGGGGTTTCTTCCAGAGGCGGAGAAGCATTTATGTGAGGCTGAGCATCAGCGTGAGTTGCTGGTGCATTGTGTGGCATAAAGTTTACCCTCCCCGACATTTGGGGAAAGGAGCTTCCAAAAGCCTGGCGGAGTAGGAAAGCGGGCAGTTACAGGCCTGATTGAACCAGGTGTGAAGTGCGGGGCTCTTGCCAGGGCATGTGCTGTTCAGGTCCGTGTGCCGCTGTCACATGCTCGGCCGAAAGTAACCTTCCCCACGTCTCTCCCACTGCTGCGCAGGCGCTATCTGGGTCGGGCAGAAATTTCTGAATAGCTCTTTGTACTGGCCAGGCACCTGCTCGTTCAGGAGTAAGGCAGTGAAGGGAGCGTGCAGCGGCGCCACCCGAGCTGGCTGGGGAAGGGCTGCTGGACGGGCGAGCGCTGCCCTCCTGACCTTAATGTCACGCCAGCAGCGTTCTGGGAGCCATGGATGTCCGCACGTGGGAATAAACGGGCTCCAGGAAGGGCGATCCTTTCCGGTGGCTCCACCTGCCTTGGGCTGCACTGCGAGTGTTTCGCACTCTTGCCCCTCCTGCCGTGAACGCAGCCGTGCACCCACGGCGGCCCAGCTTCTGCCTCACACGCCCCGTCGGTAGTACAAGGAGCACTGGGGAGCTTGCACGGGGCTTCTGGAGCTCTGGAGGACTGAAGCGCTGTCTCCTGGCCAGTGATTAATCCTGCTTTACAAAGCGATCTGGTGTGTCCGAGGGGGTGGAGTGCTGGAGCGGGACCTGGGCACTGGTTCGAGCCCCCATTTGGCCCTGACGGTTGTGGGGTGACGTTAGGTCACAGGCGCCCGGCTGAGCCTCCTTACAGGGTGCGAGGACAGAGTGGAGTGGAGGGGGACTCCCGCCTGTTTCTTGCAAGAGCAAGAAAGGGTGTGCGGGGCCTGCATGTCTTCAGCAGTTGCTCGTTTTGCGTGGGAAGGCTTTGCTGAGTCTGTGGGTGTTTGCAGGGGGGCAGCTGCAGCCAGGTTGTCAGTGTCAGGTTGTGTGTTGGCGATTTCTTGGAAGTGTCTATGTCACATGCAGAGCAGCTTCTTAGTGGTAGAGGATGCAGCATGCGGAGCCCACGCGCGGCCATCGCCTGCCCTCCAGCCCAGGAGTCCAGCGCTCGTTCCTCTTCGGAGCCGGCACATCTCTGCAGGGCTTTGTGCGGGAGGGAGCAGGCAGCCGTCCTTTCGCCTGCTGCGCAAGTGAGAGCAGAGCATGTGCAGAAATAAATCACCTGTTGTCATCCTCCTGGCATGGAACAGAATGGTGCACACTTAGGATCCTGAGCTCTCCATCAGCCAGGTGTGGGGTGAACGTGGGCTCAGTCCAGTCTAGTGCCAGGCACCCAAGTGTGCCTCCACGGGGGATTTTTCACAGCCTACGCACCCCGGTTCCGGTATTATTATGCGTGCACTGTGCTGGTGCGACTGGGACATACTGCGATCCCTGGATTCTGGTCCTTGCTGTGAGAACCTGTTTGCCAGCACTGCTCCGTATCCCCCTTTTCAAGAGAACTCTGTTCCTGTGGCTCTTACGAACTCCTGCCCCTTGAATCTTCTTACTGCATGCCTGGAGCAGATCCCTGCATGTTTTATTTAGACGGTGTTTATTCTGACTTCTGTTGACTCATCCTCAAGGGGACTTATAATAGATTATAATGCACGCGCAAAGCAGTGCTGTCACGGTAGATCTTAGCCCCTCGGCCAGTGGATGGACCCGGAGCGCGCTTTTCTTCGGCTCTGCAGTCTGGGGGTGACTGGCCATCGGGGCAGACTCGTCCTTCTAGCTGAGGGGACTGATGTGCCAGCTCTCTGCAGCCGTTCCTCTTTGCCCGCTTCCCTCTCGGCCTGGTTTCCTGGGAGCCAGAGCTGTGGCTCCAGTGGTGGCTGAGGCTGGCATGCTTCCCAGGGCAGCTTCCAGTTGGTTTCCTTCCTTCCTTCCTTCCTTCCTTCCTTCCTTCCTTCCTTCCTTCCTTCCTTCCACGGGACCACCTCCAGAGTCCTGCTAGGCACTATGGTGGCTTTATTGCTTCTGTTTTAACGCTGACACCATTTCCCACTCTTCTCCTGCCCGATGAACACAGGTGAAATCCTGTGAGCAGTCGCTCTGTAGGTGCATTGTCACACACCTGATGTGTGTACGAAAAGGTTGCAGCAGGAGCCATACAAGAAGCTTTGCAAAATTCTCCTTCGTCGTCTCTTCCAGTCCTCTCTCCCCCATGCTTAGCATAGGATGCAAGTTAAAATTAATGGGTTGTCCTCTTGTTTAGAAGGGAAATACACCCCGGTGGTGGTGCAGGGTCCCTGGTGAGGCTGCAGCAGGGCTTTGGTGTTGGCATTAATATTGCAGCCTCGGCAGAGAGTGAAAGGTGTGCTAAAGTACATGCCGAGGTTCGACTTGACACTGTACGAGAAAACTTTGCGCAGGTCTTCTTTCTGGCAGTGTGCAGTTTATTTGCAGAACACAAAATTAGCAGAGGCCTGTAATGATTAGCAGCTGGCTGATAGCCCAGAAATACGCAAAGCTGGACCTGGCAGCACTTGGCAGTGATTTTCTGAAAGACAATTGTTCTTTAGCTCTTTTTATTATGGCATCGATTATTTGGCAATAGCAGTCCTGTTTACAGTGCTGATTTGGTCGGCGCACGTGTACGGGACGGTGGTGGCCCGGATGTGACCCATTCTCTTACACCTGCAGGCTTTCCTTTGGGTACTTTTAAGCGACACACCTGGCACAGACCTGGTCATCTAAAAGATATGCCAAGTGTCTGCTTTTCATCTCCTTAACTTGACAGCCGCACATGCCCTGGCATGCTGAAGCAGGATGACCTATTGCCAGTGTGGTTGGGTCTGTTTGCGGTAACCCGTGTTGGCTGCATGCAAAAACCACAGCCTGATGCATGTTTTCTCCCTTCTAATTGCCGGGGAATCCAGGATCTTGGTTCTCTCTGTAGGACGCAATGGCTTTGAAAGATGCAGTGGCCTCATATGAATGTACTGGACTGGATGGGACGAGATCAGAGGGCTGTCTGGCCTGCGTTTGCCTCCAATTCTGGCCAAATGCTCCTTCAAGGTCAAGGGGAAACATGCCAGAGAGGGGTTCCCTTTCTGGCCCCACGGCCCTCTGCTGCTCGGAGGTGAGGATCCCCCGCACTCCGGCTTTGTCTAGTGACCTTCCACAAAGTTGAAGCCTTTGTGACTTGGGATCATCTCTTCCAGCATCTCTGCCAGGTGCTGTTTGGAGGCATGCTGGTGGCGAATTCTGAGCCGTATGGACAGCATCTTTACTTCATAATGTAAACGCAGCCTGTGTATGAATAAGTTCCACTGTAAAATTAGCAGCACGTTGGGGCGCCTCGTCCCGTGCTGCCGATCTGAGCTTGCCTCTCTCTGGGCTGGTTCGCAGAGATGCTTTTCACTGCCAGTCTCCTGGCAGAAGCTGAGGGGAATCAGGGTGGGCACCCTTGGACTGGCAAGCCCTGGCAAGGGGTGTGAATCCCGCACAGACAGTGGCGGCTTCCCTGCGGTAAAACCCCGTTCTGGAAAGAAGGTTGTTTGGTCCTCTTGCTGGATCAGCCTACGGTCAGCCTGCCTCCATCTGGCGTCAACGAGGTGGCTTTGAATTCCAGCCCTCATCCTCTTGGGCCATGTTGACGGGGGCTCACAAACACCTGGAGGGCACCCCTGTGGAGAAGGGGGCCCTCGGAGCTGAGCCCAGCTGCCTCGCTGTGGTTGCTTCGTGCCCAGGGTGTGGCAGCCCCCCGGCTTCGCAGGCTGGACCAGCCGGGCCTCGTCGGCCCGCGGCATCTCACGGCTTCCATGCTCCACTGTGCACTCTGTGCTTTTGTCAGCGCCCCGGCAGAGGGGGGTGCCTGGCCCCCTCCCCTGTCCTTGTCACTCCCCAGCCAGAGGTAGCCGTGGGGATGCGGAGCCGCTGGGTCGCTTGCTCTGTGCTTGGAAGGGGCGCCGTTCCGTGCTTTCTGCTACAAAATGGGCCACCCTCCTGTGTGATCCAGTTCACAGGCATTGGGGGGGGGGCATCTGAACCCCACCCCAAAGCAGGTTGGCCTCTGCATTGCAAAATGCTGCTCTAGCCACTTCACATGGCCAGACGTAGCCGGTCCCTTCCATCTTTCCTTGTAGGACTAACGTTCCAGTTCTCTGATCTTTCCTAAACTTGTTCCGATTTCTCTGAGTCCTTCTTAAAGCGTGTTGCCCAGAACTTGCCAGTCCACATGTTGGCTGACCGGCTCACGGTGGAGCGGATTCTGCTTTTGTGATCCTGGAATTCTGCTGCTTCTTCGCGTTTGCCTCCTTCGCAGCCCCTTCGTGCCTCTGACTCGTGTTCCGCTCGTGATCGCACTGCAAGGGCCAGTCGGAATTTCTTGTCAGGTGTCTCACGGATGTCAGTTTATATGATGGCTACTTGGCTACTTTTTGATCATCATACAAGATGGTCCTGGTGGGACTTGTCCTTGACAACTCTGTGCTCCCTTCCACTGATCGCCACCTTGGTGTCGAGGTGCTTACAGTCTGGGTGCTTCATAATCTCCTCCAGAACTGTCCCCGATATCGAAGCCGGACCGACTGCTCTGCAGTTCCCCAAATTCTGCACTGTTGCACAACGTTTGCCCTCCTCTAGCGCTCTGGGTTATCCCCAGTTTGCCAGGATTTCTCAGAAATCATCAGTGAGCAGCCCTTCCAATACCGGAGTTGCGCTTTCTTCAGGAGTTGGGCCTCAAGCTCACTGACAGTGCTTAGATATTCCCTGGCCCTGTCAGTCTGTTTGCCAGAAATGCTGGCTGGGACGGATCCTCCTGTGGGGGAAGATTGAACCGAAAGAGGAATGGAGCAGAGTTCAGCCTTCTCTTGACCTCGGTCAGCGTTTCCCCATCTTGGCTGAGCAGCGACGTCTGGCATTCTTTCTCTCCTCCAGCGTCAAAGAAGCCCTTTTCGTTATTTGTAGCAGCCATCACGGATCTCCACTCGCCCGCCAGTGCAGGCCTGTCTCTCCTGTACTCCTCCTGAACAGGTCCCTCTTGAGGTTCGGATCTGGCCTACGCTTTTCGTGTAGCTGCACTGCCCGCTTTTCTGACCTTCCCCATTTCCCTCTTACGATCGAGCACTAGCATTCCCTGC